ATGAAATTTTGACAGGAATCTTTAACTCATATGTATTATCACAAGTTGGTTTTCAGAAAAATACTGGTAAGCACAGATCATTTTCAAGAACATCCTTTAGTGATTGTCAGCCCTCCTGTTTGCCTTTCTCCTGTCCTGATCTCTTTCTATTAACTGTCATGGCTTAGTAATATTTTATTTACTTGGTCAATTCATTTACACTACCAATCAAGCATAAAAGATAATGTTATTGATTAAATGGAAAGTTCCAAATTGGTTAATATGCAAGGCAAATTCAGCCTATTGACATAGTTGCTTTATCCACCTTTTATTAAAAAATCTAGAAATATCACATAAAATTTAGATTTCTGGGTTTCTCTTGATAAATCAGAAGATCTTTCAACACTGGACCTGAATTTTATGACATGAATCTGCCAAAACAAAATATTAGAATGTCCCCGTTAGGTAAACCCCACTTCTTTCTGTTGCTTAGACTCAGACAGTTTCACTCACTAAACACCTACTTAGTCCCGGAGGCTTTTGAATTTGTTTGCTGTGGGTGGTAATGGTGGTGGTGGTGTGCATATGTGTTTATGAAATCAGCATTCAACTAAGATAGCTCAACAGTCTCAACCCATGTGAGTTAAGAGAGATTATGATCTATGTTAATTCATTTCTTCAACATTAATTGGTAGCCTATCAAATAGTAAAATATTGTTTTAGGGATAAGCAAAATAGATTCCTAATTATAAATACCATGACAGGACTTCCTGTATCTACAAAGCTGCATACTAATCCCATGAGTACTTTAACCCTACTTTGTTCTCTTCTGGCTTGAGTTTTCTCTTCTTCAAATGTATCACAGAAAAGTCACAATGCATTTTTTAAAGAAGATTTATTTTGGATTAAATGATTTCATGATGCAACATGGTTTTAAACAAAAATAGAGATCAGTATGAAAATAAAACAAATTGTACACATTAAAATATCTTTCCCTAAAAGTAATTCAGAATCATAAAAAAATACAACACAAAAGTCAGGGGTTTAGGTGAGGATAAGAATTCAGACTTTCCAGAAAACAAAAACTAGTCTACATTTCAGAGTCCCAGGCTCCATTTAATACCACCCACAAATCATTTCTAGAATGTCACAATCTGCATTGTTTGCTTTGAAAAAAAAGATGACATTTAAATATAAGGTGAAAAGAGAGCTGTATAAATTTAATGCCAATAGCAAATACCTCCCATTATTATTATCTACTAAAAGTCACAATGAATAAATATGAAGCTTCAATCAACTCAACAAAAATAGAAACATAATATAGTAGACACAATGGGTGGAGTTGATGAAAAGAAATGGAAAGCCTTAAAAAAATACACCACCTGTGCTCTACTGAAATCTTAGAAATAAATATTTTTTACAGAGCCTTAATATTAAAAAGTAAGCATTATTATAAAATTAGATTAATACTTTCAGTAAGAGGCAAGAGAGATGCATGTATTTTTATTTACTTTGGAATGCCTGCATCCCTATTATAAAAATGTGTAATCTTATTAACTTTCCAACATATTAACAGTTTCACATTGTACTTATGGCATAATATAAAGAAAAATAGGTTCTAATGACATCTTTTAGAGCATTAGGGTCCTAAAAGAACATTCAGTTGTGTGTGTTTCCTGGTTAATCCTTCCAAAGTATTTCCTAAAGCATTCTTTTTCACAGAAGGTGATAGTAACCAGAAGTTTACTGATGATTCATTTCCCTGCATCAGTAATAGCTGATTCAGTTTGAATCATACAACAAACCTATCAAAACTCCTCAGGGTTGTAATATCTTAAAAGAAAATCGGATAAAAAGATATCACCTGCCCAAGGCCACTAGATGTAAAAATCACATATATAAATTTAATTTTCCTGTATTCCCTAGAAACAGTACAACTAGGGCCTTCCAATTCTGGTGACCTGTTAGATCATGAAAGCCAAATAAACTACTTTGCAGATTAAATCTAAGCAAATGTGTTTTCAGTCTTGATTAGCTTCCTGAAAAATTGGAAACACTGATTAGGTCTCCATTTGCAATTCAGTAACCTAATTCTTAGGTTTTTGCTTTCTAAGGGAACATTTAAGTTACCGTTAGATACCGTGAAGATGTCTCAAAAGCTATTCTAATGTCAAAGAATGTCTGCTAAGAAACAAACTAAGCATAATAAATGTCATTACCCCCTTTTTATTTCATGTACAAAGTTCAATGATAGTAATAATTCTTGAGTTAAAAAAATCCACAACATAATGTAATGCTAAAATATCAAATCTCCTGATTAAGCTATGGTTAGCTTTAATACTTTAAGGCCAAATTTTGTTTTGCAATACAGAAAATGTTATCAACCTACTGAAGTCATAAAATGAGGGGATTTCCCACCAGGTGGATGATCAAGCCGTGCTCTCCTTAAGCAACAGTGGTCTCTTCCTCAAAGTCGAAAACCAACTGAAATATATATTTCTCCACTGACCAGCAAAGCCTAAAATGGTCCTTTTACCCTTGTTTCAGCCTTCTGTCTGCTACAGGCCCATCTTAACCGTCTGCACGCCTGGCCCAGTTGCTATGATAGGGTGGCACACATAGTCTCATATCCTTTGTGCCAGCTTGTTGGAATGCAATTACCCACTCCTGAATCTTGACAGTTGGTCAATAATTAGCCTTACATTCTTGGGTGGGGAGGGGCACAACTGCTGGGCTCCTCTTTTCCATTTTTTTGTTTTCTCAACCTTCTAGTGGACAGTAGTTGGCCTTAAGCCACAATTTACAAAGCTTTACTGTCTCTGGCATTCCTTTGCTTCCATATTAGACAAACAAATCTATCAGGAAAGCACAACTGAACTAGAAAGGTAATAGGTTTTGTGAAATTAGAATGTGATTAAAAGTGACATTCATTTAGACTCAAATCATATGGAAGTAAGGTGTCTAGGATCTAGAGTGTTTTCACTCATCAACTAAATCAGAAAGCACTTAAGAGAGAACAAAAAGGTCTGAAACTCAGACTCAGCTTGGACTTTAGGCCACATTCTTCATTTGTATTGCACTGTGCAGGGTTACAGATGTCTCAGCACCATTTCACCCGCCTTGGCAATTCCTGAAGAGGGCTAAATGGGAAAGACTTCTCAACTCTTTGTTATAAGATGCCTGCCTTAGTTAGAGGTGGTCAAGTCACTTTATCCACATCACTGGAACTCTGCTATCCGGGTTTCTAGATCCATTCTTCTTCAAAATCAAAACATAAAATAAGGCTTATGATCAAAGTGGTTTTTTTTTTCATTATCTTGTTTCCAAATAAAATATTTGAGGAGACTAAACTACCATACTATATAAATCCACCAAAAGCAACCAAATTTTGCATTGTTTTTAATTTCTCATAACAAGTAGTAAAATGCAGATATTACATCTATGAGAAATTTTTCCATGAATATGCTAATTTCTTTAAGGACTTATTAAAAAGTGTCAGGTTTAAAAAAGGTTTGAGAAAGTAAGGGTTTGAGTAGGTGGAGCATGTTGCAAAATCACAGAAAGTGGAATATGCTGGTGGAAACAGTCTCCACATTGCTTGAGATGAAACCTAGAATTTTAACTATAAAGAACTGAAAGTGATCTCACAAGCCATCCAGGAAAATCAGCCTCAATCCAGATGGAACTGGATAACTTCTATTCCAGGAAGTATATGAGGATCAAAAGAGATGATGCACCTGACAGCACTTTGAAACTAAAGCACTGTACAAACATACTGTACCATTACCATTAATTGTCTGAATGCAGTTTTACCATTTCTGGTTGTTTTGCAGGTGAAACTGATTTCCCTTCACTTATTACATAATTTATACTAAATTATAAACACAACATATGCTAGAAATTGTGACTGCACTTCTTTGACCAACATCCATTTATTTTGTGCACAAGAAAAACGTTTTGATCCCTGAAGTGGGTTGGGCTCGAGGACTGGGATCTTTCACGCTGAAAACCAAAGGTTCTTATTAGTGCAGATGAGAGAATCGAGGGAAAACTACCAGACTTAATTTTGTCATTTCCTTGATAATTTGAAAATCCTTGAATTGCTCCTTCACAGTTCACCTCCACACCTGCACACTTCAAACCCTGGTGTGTAACTGCACCCTGGACTTCAGCACTTAACCAATATTACATGCCATTAGAACCAGCAGAAAGAGTGTTTATGTGATTTTTTTTTAAGCTACAGTATCTCCCACGTATGAAAACTTCATTGGGTTTCCTGGATGGAACAAGCTAGTATTGATTGTAGAGAATACCACATTTTATTACAAATAAAATACTTTCTTGAATATTGGTGTCTACTCCACTAGACTGTGAGCTTCTTAAGAGCAGATTTTGGGTATTGTAAGTCCATCATCAAACATGGTGGCTGGCACAGAGCGAATGCCAACAGTGTGCCTCTTCTTATCTAAGAGACATTCTGTATATATGTGTGATGTATGCCAATGTATTTTATGATGTATGATGTACGTTATAGTGTAAGACAGTATAGCATTAAGCATCACTTATGAATCCTTTAAAGAAAACAAGACCATATACCCAAGCCATCTGGGTTCACAGTCCATAAGAAAATATTTATGCATATTTCTATTTGTAGAGTTTATTAAATGTCATGCAATACATATTTATGTATTATGTATTGCAATAATAACTACTGGACTTTTTGTTTTGCTAATGAAGAACAACAGATCAGTTATCATAGTATTGGGATATGCTAAGTACATCTTCGGTAATTCCAAATTTAGAGATGAGTATACTGTTATTTGAGAAAAAGAAACAACTAAAGAGATACATTTTATTTCAAACCCCTTTTACCTAATAATGTGGAATATGGTCACAAAGGATCACAAACCAAAATGAAAGCTAACATGGTCTGTAAAAGTATTTTTGAAAGAGATGCAACCTTCTCTATCAGCTTCTTGGGGAATGCCAGCTCTAAAACATCTTATATACCATCAAAAAGGTGGTTTTTAAAAAAAGGATTTTACTTTTTCTTTTAATGAAAAAAATACAAACAAGTACAAATAATTTGCAGAATTAAATATATGCTTATATTCATTAGTGAATACAAACTAACATTTCCAGTTAATTTTTTTCTCTTCTCTTTTTTTCTGGTCCAATTAAAAGTACACAGATAAATCTACCTTTCTTATTTCCAGATTTTGGTAACTTTTTTTGGGTGGAGGGACCATTTCCTCACACTGTAGTACCTGCCTTAAGGGCAGAAATGCATTGTGAGTGGTATTCCTCTTGAAGGTACCAACAGCAAGCATAGCTAAACCAATAGGAGAGCAATCAGTTCTTACATCTAACGACAACCATACATATGACCTCTATAAAGTGTAAGCTTGCCAACATCCATAATAGGAATTCCAGGACTGCTTATGAGTGTAATTCTCAAAGAAGTATTCAGGCAATTCCTGTAAAGCTATAGGCTGGCAAACCAAATGTTAATCCAATGTTTTTATTACTCACAATTTAACTTTACTTTATTGAATGTCTGATTAGTTATGGCCACCAGTCAAGAAGCAAACAATGATGTAGAGTAACCCCTAAAGCAATAAAAATGAAGGACACCCTCTGATAAAACTAAGCAGAAATAACATTAGTGATGTCATGCAGTTTCTGAGATACCATAGAAAAATTTTTTCTTAATATTGATAAGAAAATTATGCATCAGTGAAAATGCAGGCTTAGAAATATAGTACTGAGAGTTTCGATTCGTGTGTCTCCACTGACGAGGGAAAACGGAATTCTTATTACTAAAGAGAGATGATCTCTTGGGTGTTGCTGATGGCTCCCTAACTGAGCTTAGTGTTTAATGATGCTGTACAAATAAAAAGCAGTTGGAGAAATACGAAATATCTGTATTAAATGCCATCCTGTAAAGTATTTGATGGATGGAAGAGAGTCTAATGCATTTTAAATAAATGCATATCATACTATCACACATAGTGAGTCTTACAAAATTATTACTGAGATGCACAGTCCTTGTAGTGGTAGACATGGCACTGTGAAGGAAGTTTGATTCAGAATCTATTTTCTATTATACTTGTCAAGTGATGGAGTTGCTGTAAGTCACATCATAATGTCCCTTCAACTTTGGTACATTCAGTGCAAAATATTTTGGGGAATTTTTTGTACCTTTATAAAAATAAAAGGCCCTTTTGTTCCCTTGAGAGTGCTTAAAAGGATATATACTAGCATGATGCCCAAATAAGCATGGAACATGAAAATGGGACAGGTGATACATATGGCATGATAGGTAGGTTCTTATATACATCTTAAAGAACATAAATATAATGAACTTATGAAAAATAAACATAACTGTATTTTTTCCTGATATGCTGTGATTAATTGCTAGTTATTTCAAAATTGTTTTCATGCATTATAAAGCATAAAATCTGTCATTAGTAATCATTGTGTGACAGTTTGTCTTCAGCCATAACTACACACATACTGTTTTGCATATACATTGTCACAGACCACCTTATTGCAAATCTCTAAGTTACCTCATATTGACTTGGTTTCATTTTCACTAGTGTCCCATGAAAGCTGAAACCTATGGTGCACACCATGCAGGCACTCATAAGCAAGAAAATGAATATTCTGTTTTAACTTAGGGCTTAAATGAATGTATTTTCAGTAAATATATTTGCTTTTATATTTATTATTTAACTTGAGCTAATTTGGAGATGGGGCCAAGTGCTGCCAGTTTGGCTTGAACCATGTTCAAAGATAAGTTTCAAGATTCTCCTGAGTCCCTAAAAGTTACAACAGAGCTGATCATGTACAGGTTCATCTTTTTCTTGGAACATAACAATGGGAAAAAGTTTGGCAGTCAAGAACTGTTGATTGAAAGACTGTTGGGTTGTTCCCTGGGCATCAAGCTCACCCAAATCCTTCCAAGAGGACTCATCACCACTATCCAGTCCCCAAATGTAACAGAGCATATGTTCCTGGAAAATAACAGCACTCGGCTAATGGAAGTGTACTCTTGAAACTTCCCATGTGAAGCCATTCTTGTAGAGGGCAGCTTCTAGCAGTGCCTGTCCATACAGAGCAGGGCATTGAGTTTCCGGTCATTCAAGTCCAAAGGTACTGGTCTCTTCAACTGCTGTCAAGAGTTTTTCATAAAGCATGGAGAAGGATGGGTATGGGGGGAGATCCAGACGGTTAAAACAAGTGTGAGCTCTGCAAACAGAAGATGCAGGACATAGTTTAGAATGTGTTGAGTAAAATGAGATTGGTGTGTGTGTGTGTGTGTGTGTGTGTGTGTGTGTGTGTGTGTGTGTGTACACATGTGCTTGTCTTTCATATTCAAACTGGTTTGTTGCCAATTTTCACACTCCTTTTGAAAAAACTGAAAACAGACATAAACAAATTCAGAATCGCATTTCTCTAAGGAAATTGGGGTATTTCAAAAGCATTTTCTTTATATTTTCACAACCATTTAAATCTATATACCATACATATCCCTATTTGTTTAGTTGTCTATGAATTACAAAGACAAGTTTGGTTTTTTATTTCTCTTTTGATATTAGCTTTTTTCTTTAAAGACATGAATATAAGCTCTTGCAAAGTAATTCATTTTCAAAGTTGGCACTTGCCTACATGTTTCTCAGAATATCTACGGTTTCGCATTTTTTCATTTTGTTGGACAGGGAAGAGTACTGAGTGTCTCTGAAGACCTGCCTCATGACTTAGAGTCTTGGGAAATTCCCTGGCTGGACTTTCCTATCAAAGTCAGTAGAGCATTGTTACTTTTTTGAATCCCGTGCTATAATGTGTTTTCTCCTAATTCACAATGCAAAGTAATGGCCATTTAAATCACTACATTAAGTATTCTTCTTTAGAAGTATGTCCCCTTGTGCCAAGATAGGAAAAAAAAAATGCTTTCCTGTTATTTGCACTTGAGTCACAATAAAAAATAACAGTCTCCAAGTAGTAAATCTTATCAGGAAGCCAATCTGCATTTTTGACATGGAATAGGAAGCATTTTATTCTGAATGCACAACAGCTTGTTTGTGGGGGCTAAACAACGTGGTCTTAAAAAAAAATACTCCTGTATAAATATGGAATTTTAGGAGCTATGATTAGCGATGGGCTATTTTTAAAAAGTCACATGTTTAAATTTTTACTCTTATAAATCAGTTTAATGCTTATTAAATAAATACAAGTATATTCCTAGACACAGCGTAGCATAATGGGAGGAGCAGAGGTTTAGACTTGGGTATACGTGGGTTTGAATTCCACCTCTAACAACTAGTTTTGTGATTTGCAGTGCGTTATTAAAACTGAGACTCAATTTTCTCACCTGTAAAATTTGAATAGTATAATTTGTCTCAGAAGGATATGAAAATCAAGTGAAATAACAGCAACATGCTTAATAAAATGCTTCACATGTAGTGTTTGACAAATAAGATATTGAGCTACATTTCATTACTATGAAAAATATTTATTCTAATTGCCTTCATTAAATTGCAAAAGATAATTATGACTCTTGGAAACTATGAGACAACAAAGAGATAATAAAGCACATATGTGGCCACATGGTTTATTACATCAGCAATGCCAAGGGGCACTATTATATTTTAAGAATAGCGGTTTTAGGAAGTAAAGATAATACTGGCTCAGGATTTTCCACTCTACTTATCACAAACTCCTGAATATCTTTGGGGAATATCATCTAATTAGTCTTTGAAGCCAAGCACTTTTTTTGAATATAATAAACACTTTCAGGGTGGACTGCACTTAGTATAATTCTTATTATACCTTCCTTACACTGGAACCTCAACTTGGGCCTCAAGGAAAAGGTTTTACTTAAAAAAATTGAACTAGCATACTAAAAGACAGTCCTAAAACTGGTTAAAAATATATCTTGCATGAAACACTGGGATAAAAATATTAAATGAAGAACTTTATCTCTGTTCTAGGGAGAGGGGAGGAAGAAGCAGAGGAGAGAGATACGGTTTGAATATAACTATATTTCAGATTTTCTGTTAGACATATAACATTCATTATCCCATTAGACTAAAAGATGGAACTTCTTTTAAATGAAATTAAAATTTTTTCATTTCTTTTGTTATCAACAAGGCTGAGCATCTTTTCCCAGTCAACTTACTCGTAACATTTCCTGTTTTGTGATCTATATGTTCATCTCCTTTGCCCTTTAACTTTTCTTTTAAAAATATCCTTAAAGTGATAAAATATGCATCTCAAAAGTTACCATGTAAACAGTTAGAAGTGCACAGTTCTATAGCATCAGCACATTCATGTTGTTCTGTGACCATCATCACTACACATCTCTAGAACCTTTTCATCTTTTCAAACAGAAACTCTATACCTATTGAACACTAACTCCCATCCTCTCCTGCCCCTGCAGCCACCATTCTATTTTTTTTTGTCTCTATGAATATGACTACTCTAGGTACCGCATATAAGTGGAATTGTGCAGTATTTGTCTTTCATGTCTGGCTTATTTCACTTAGCATAACATTTTCCAGGTCCATGTTGTAGCATGGGTCAGAATTTCCTTTCTTTTTAAAACTGAATAATATTACATTGTATATGTACAACATTTTGTTAATTCATTCATCCATTGATGAATGATTTGGTTGTTTCCATCTTCTGGCTATTGTAAAAAATGCTGTTATAAACATTGGCATACAAATATCTGTTCAAGTCTCTGTTTTCAGTTCTTTTGTGTGTATTCCCAGAAGTGGAATTGCTGGATCATATGGTAATTCTGTTTTTAACTTTTTAAGGAACTGCTATACTGTTTCAATTGTGGCTGCACCATTTTACATTCCCACAAGCAGTGCACAAGGGTCCTCATTTTTCCGTATCATCACCAATACTTATTACTTTTTGTTTCTTGCTTTGTTTTTATAATAGCCAGCCTAATGAATGTGAAGTCCATTTATCATTTAAAGCTTTAGGATTTCTTGCTGATTTGTAAAAACACTACAAAACAGAGGTTAAATCTTCTATTACCTTCCACTACTCTCTTCCAGTCTTTTTTTTTATTTGGTTATGCATTTTATTTACAGAGCAATATTAATCTGGTTACTTATCATCCATTTCCAACACATTGCCTTTCTCTCTTCAGGGTGTTGCTATGATAAGAAACGTTGAAACGATGACCTCTATTGTTTACACCTAATAGGCTTTTGTCTCTTTTTTTCTTTTGGTAGTGTTGATGTTTCAAAGGGTGTGGTAGGCCAACTCTTCTTAAAAGAGTAACTAATAATTGTAATCTTGAATAGAATATGTATGAATTCATTTTTGTGAATTGAATCATATTGGGTAAACTAAGAAAAAAAGTAATTCAAAGTGACCCATTCTCTAGGTAGGCAATAACCCCTAATTAATGTTTTATTTGCTTAGGACAGACCATGACTGTTGGTGTAATGCACCTGTCACACCCTTGTAAGCCTGTTCCTTCCCTCTTGACAACCAAATACTTTTTCTTAACTGAGGGTTAATTTTAGCTAATCAAGAGCTAACAAAATGGTCACAGACATGGGGAGGAGATTTCAAAAACAGTAACACTTGACATTCCCAGTTAGTGTCCTGCACATACTTAGATTGAATGTGGAATTTTAATTCCTTGTGGTGTGTGGTAGGCCAAATGCTATAGAGAGTCACCATGACCCATGTCTTTGTGTAATCCCCACCTCTTGAGTGTGAGTGGGACCAGTTACAGTGGAACTCACTTGTGACCAGTGGAAAATGGCAGAGGTGTAAGTATGCTGCAAATGTAAATAAAGCCACTAATCAGTTGATTTTGAGTAAATCAAGAGGGTGATTATCTTCAGTGGGCTGGACCTAATTGGGTGAGATCTTTAAAAGAACATCTAGAGGTTAGAGCCTCTCACTGTTGCTGAATTTGAAGAATTAAGCTCCTATGAATTCTACAGCTGCAAGAAATGAATTCTGCCAATAAACTAAGGAAGCTTGGAAGTAGGTCCTTCCCCAGTTGAGCCTCCAGATGAGAATACAGTCCAGCTAAACCTTCGTTTCAGCCTTGTGAGATGCTGAGCAGAAGAATCAGTTAAGTCATGTCTATTCCTGATCCACAGAAACAGTGATATAATAGTTGTGTGTTGTTTTAAGCGGCTACATTTTTGGTAATTTGTTATGCAGTAACAGAAATTCATTACAGATCTCCAGGTAGTAAGACGGTCCAAGAAAAGGTGGTAAGGGTGATAAATGTGATACAGTAGCATCACGCCTATCAAGATCAGGTAGCAGAGGAAAGCTGGGAGTAAATGGTGTCCTTGTGTTTTCCCAGGTTTCTGAGCAGAGAAATAGGAACTCTGCATTTTCCTTGTGTTTCTATAGTATCTCTGTGGATACTATATATCTTTTCCAGTAAATCCATAAGCCTCGGTATTCTTTTCTTTAAAAATTCAGTTCTCAAGACAAAGGGAAGGACTTTTTTGATCCTCTTTACTCATACGACAGGCTTTAAGGAGTTTTGAAATTTTTGCAAGCACCAAAACACTGGTGCAGAGAGCGAATGTTGATATCTTATTTCTAATTCACTTGATGTCTCTCCAGTAGTGGAGACCACCTGCATCAGACTCACTCAGAGTGATTGTTAACAAAAAAAAGAAAACCTTTTTTGATCCTCTTTACTCATAAGACATAATCACCATTACTGATCCATAACCTAAGGCTACCTTAGATCAACTGCTTCCAAATTACCTCTGTGTAACATATGGTAACCATAATAGAATTTTCCATCTGAATAAACTGAACAGCTCCTCTGGAAAACATTTCATGAGAATGGAGGAAGTATAAATTGTGGATGGGGGGAATTGCAGAAAGATTAAATGTTTTTCCCAAGGTCAAAGCTGAGTCAGTGGCCAAATCAAGAATAGGAACTCAACCTTGGGCTCCTAGGGAAAGTCCAACATGAAGCTGAAAGCAGGGAGACTGATGTTCAACAGCTCTATTCATTCATTTTTAGAAGCCTGGGTGTTCATTTCATCCCACCCCTTACTGTGAACTGCTGGTCTTCAACATCCTACCAGATTACAAACATTTTGAGGATGGGGATTAGCAAAATAAAGCATCAAATTTGTTTAAAATGAATGACTCAATCATAATGTACAGTAGTTCTGGGGAAAATGGTCCAGATTGGGTCATTCCAGAAAACCCTGGGAGATACCAAGGGATTTTTTAGG